GCCACTTCATCACATCACTTCATCACATCTCTTGGTGTTCCGACTTCCATAATTTTTGAACTAAAAATGGTATCAGCATGTGGTTTTCACAGCAGTTATGCTGAGATTATGTTCGTTTCAAATCTGTAAAAAAAAAAAATTACAAGGGTCGACAAACGACTCATTTAGCTTGATCGCGTCACAAATAAGTAGGTAAGATGTAAAGAAACACTAAATGACACATCCAATTAAGGATTAATTTATGTTTTCAAATCAAACCTACATGTACATGTAATACATGTACTGAGTATTTCGACGTATTAAACACACACTCTACATGCACATTTCCCAACCCGATTTAACGACATAATTGCAACAACCAAATGGACGTTAAGTTGTTAATAAAAAATCCCACAATGTCTGTTAGGAAGGCATGCCAATTTCCTTTGAGTGTCAACATCAATTGTCGTCAACATTAATGCAATATAGCGGAGATTATTTGACAGGTCCAATATTAAACTCTTTACTGCTGCGTCTTGTCGACGGAGGTTTATATCTGGAATTTTAAGAGCTCTCATCTCAGTTGAGAATTTTTAAAATGATGCCGTTCTGTTTGAAAATGATATTTCAGAGTTTTGAAAAAGATTAGTTGCTGTACTGTTTCAGAGTTTAAATAAAATAAGATTCAATTTACATTATTAATAAATAGGGTTTCAGAATTTTGCATATATTACCGTGGTTGAGTTTCAGAATCTTGAAACAATCTAATGCCGTTCATTTTAAAAAGATTGTTTTATGTCTGTAGGAGAAATTAATTGCCCTATTTTGATGATATATGACTGCAGGGTGATATGACTACAGGATGATATATAACACCAGAATGCTTGTTGTCGGATGTCACTTCACAACTACCAGAGATATATTGATGTTGCACGGTCTATCAGTCTGTTTTCACCCCTGCAACACATTAGTACAGCTCATTTTCAACACCAGTGTCTTACGACACCTGGCAAATGCATTATTCACAACACTGTCCTCAGTTGAACCTGCCCTGCGATAACACAATTACTTCAGCTTGTGAAACTGCACTGGAAGAACTGCCTAACCTTTCACAGTGGCCGCCTATCTTCTCAATGTGCCCAACTAACTTCTCACACTGCCCGCCTAACTTCTTAAACTACCCCCTTACTTCTCACTGTAACCACCTAACTCTTCACTGCACCTGTCTGACTTGTGGCAGTGCCCGCTTAAATGCTACTGAAGTTTGCGAGACACCCAACACTTACATCAGATAACTTACTCATAGTTCTGGCCACACTTTTCAAAGTACCACCCCACTTTCGCAGTGCTCGCCTTAAACTTCTAACAAACCGGTATACCCTCATTTCTCGCAGTGCAAGAGGGGGGGGGGGGGGGGTGAATGAACGAACCCCCCCCCCCCCCTCCTCAGGGAATGAGCCTGCTTGCTTACATGTACCTCAGGGCATCCAAATAACTTACCATTTTCCAAACATCTCACAAACAAAACTGTTTTTGCTACAAAATCTTATACAAATTGCTGACATAAAATGTCATTCAGAGGATGCAAACTTCAAAAAAGAGACAACACTTCAAGTGAAGGAATTAATAAAAGAAAACTTTGTCTCATACATGTACAAACAATTCAACACGTAATTCCAAAGCTGAAGAACAAATTTGACACATTTGTCCTTGAAGAAGAATAATTTGAATCAACAACTACAACCCACGCAAAGAAGAAAGAAAGTCAGATTCGGACAATAAGGCAAAATATGTAAGGATTAGGATTTACAGTTCCTACTTAAAAACACAAACACGTATGTGAGAGAAATACAAAACGGACACAAAAACTAAAATGAACTCCAGAGCAGAGTAAAACCACTCAGCCCCTGGTACTCTCAAACCTCCAAGTGAGGAAGTATGACCCCCCACCCCCACCCCTGGGGCAAGGGAGACGATGATTACAATGTAAATAATTGATCGCATCACTGCTGTGGGTGAAACCCTAGGTGTGAAGACAACTGACGTAAAGGCATCAAGACATGATGTCCTTTGTTTGAATTATTGATAAACACGGATGACTTGGGATGGGAGCGGGAACAGATTCGCTCAGACATTTCATAAAAGTTGTTACGTTGGTGATGATTGTCTAATGATTAATGTAAGACTATCATTAATTACCAATTTGGACATTAATTATCTTGACTCACAAGCTGAAAGTTTAGTTTTTGGTACTCTCGAAGTACATAAGCTTAAAGTTTGTCAAAATGAAACTAGTGAAGTAGGCCTAACCACCCTCCCCAAAAACAGAAGACAAAATGTGCATCATGATGTTTTGCCTTGTGTTGCTATTTTTATTGCACAGGAATATTTTTAAAAGATAGAAATTAGCTGATTTGAAGGAAAAATCTCACTCAAAAAGATTTGAAGAAAAACAACACCCCAATATTTCAGATGATTTTGCATATAGGACAAATTATATTGTCATTTTTTAAAAGAAACAATGTGTTACCCCCTCTAGTGACAAAACATAACAAACTTGTAAGATGATTTCACCAACAGAGGGCGCTATTGAAAATTTTGGGAAGTGCAGTGCTGCAATCATTATCAAGCATCTGAAAAAAAATCTGATCCCATTTTCTTAAAAAAAAAAAAACACCAGAAAGGACCAAGAATCTTGCCTTCATTTTGTTTCCAGGGTCCTTATTGTTGCAACACATACTTTTACAGAAATCTTCAGATCCTGAAAACTTGTCAGATTTCTTTAAACAGATGTCTTTCTCTTGGTCTGAAAGAATCTGAGAATTTTGTTTTCAGCATTGGTGTAACAATTTCAAAATAAATTGGTCAGATTTATTACTTACAAACTTCAAGGCTCTAGAATAAACTCATCTTGGGAGACTTTCTAGAACAAGTTCTTACAAGCTCTATCTTGAAAGACCTTAACTATCTGAGAATGTTAAGTTTGCTTGGCCCAACTCAATACCAGACCGCTTTTTACATTTCAGATCCTCAACTTTTTCTCAACTCAGTCTTTAGTTCCGATTTTTTTTTTTTAGAGAATACAAAAGACAACATTCACATGGCATGAAGTTCATTCAATAAATCTCAACCTGAGTAGAACAAAAATTGAGAGAAAACACAGAGAGTGAAATAAAGAAGACAAAAAATCACTCGAATTTCAACAACAATGAAGGTGATACCCTCACAAGCGCAAAATGAAAGGAAGCCTTGGGACGACCAATCAATGTATTGATTGAAACTCAAGTGCCGAATGACTAAATGTCCCTACTCCCAGGGTGAAAAACAATACTGATCAGTTGTCATGGAAACGTGACTCCATTAATTTCAGAGGACACTGCTTAAATTGAAAATGATAAAAAGAAAAACTTTAAAAAAAAAAAAAAAAAAATTAAAAGAAAAACAGAGAAAGCATATTTCATCATGAATTCACAGGAAAATACAACCGAGAGTTGAGATAAAGCAGAAGAGTTGACTCACATGTAACAGACCACATAGAAAAGAAAGGGCAAGACAGCTATGCAACCTGATTGGTCAGCAGTTATTGGTGATGTCACGCATCACATTTTCAACTCATGAATATTCATTTCCAACTGGCAGTAATTGGTTTAAAAAGTTGCAATGATGTCACAGACATGCTCTCCAGAAGTGAAGTGACATAAATTACTTTTAATGCCAAATCTGGCTTTCATCAAGAACTTTAAAATTCAAACATTGATTTAAAAAAAACTTATGACCTTTCAAGACGATTTGAAAAAGCTGATGAAAGAGCTATTTTTCAAATCCAAGTATGTTGCATGTAGGTTAACAGTTTTCATTTCAGAAAGGAAGAAAATACTAAAGAAAAGAGTGAAAAAGTCAATGTTTCTTAATGAGAATGCAGGGGGAAAATGACAAAACATCTACATTGCGTAAGTACTTCTATCAGCATCTAATCAAAGAAAATCACAACAAACTACAACTGAAAACAAATCATTAGATCAAAACGAAGAAAGTCAAATGAAACAAATCTACAACATCCATGTTCTTAATCGTGGACTTATCATCCGGATTTCTACCACAAGACTCCATGCTGAATATCAATAGGCGTCAGAGATGGCAAAATGAGTGAGTAACGAGTTATAACCTCGGGGTTAATTAAAACCAGGGTTAAAACAGGGGGACAATTTTAACCAGGATTGACTAATCAGGTTAGTGAACCAGGTATTAAAACCATTTGGGGCTTTCGGAAGATTAGGGAGATGGGGTTAAGAAAGTGATGTGCTGCTGGGAAGAATCTCAATATTTTTTTTTTTTCAGGGAATTGTTTGGTCAAGATTGTTAGGAACAGACATCTATGATTGGTCTATTTTTTATTTATTTTATTTTATTTTGTTTGCTTCCAATATTTGACACTCATTTTTTGCCATCTTCGATTTCCCGTGAACGGCGTCATCAGAACTAGCGCACATGCGTGTGTGTGACTCGTGTGCTTTTGTTTAAAAGCATGCTTATTTGCATATGATTACTATGTTTGTGGCATGAAATTATAATTGCTTTTCAAAAAGAAAAATAATTAAAAGAAAATCTATGAAATTTCCCCTTTTTTGGTTAAAACAAAATTATAATTGAACAAGTTTTCAACTGGCAGGGAATGGTGTATCTTTGAAAGAAAATCAACAAAACTTTCATCAATTTAGTAGTGAATGTGTTAACGTCACATGCATGAAGCGTGTATGAATACATGCAGTGCAGTGTTTGCTTGTTTTCAAGCAGTGACAATTAATTTTGAGAAACCAAAACCTAAATTTTGAGTGACGAAAAAGCAACAAGGGTTCTCACCACCAATTTGAAGATGAAAAAACATTCCTACACTTAAAAGAAACATTCCTTCAGAGTGGTTTAGCAAAGTGAGAGAATCTGTGGACATTCGTAATCCATGCTGCTTTTGGAACAGGTTAAATATGAATTTGTTTTTCTTCTTTTTTTGATGTCTGCATTTGAAAACTTTGTTTATCTGTTGTATTTTTATGAGCACACACGCACGTCTACTATGCAACTGAGAGCCGGACTATCATAGCAGACCTGGGTTATCGGAGGAGAGACTATTCAGACCCGACGATGTCTTTTTGCGGTTACCCATCTCCTGCACCAGACGTTGATCTGCGAGGGGAGGGGGAGGTAGAGGTGGAAGACGGAAGAGGTGGCAATAGAACGTGATGTTAGAAAACAAAATTGTCAGTGTGGTGGGAAAAACAGTAAATCGGGGTTAATGGAAGTCATTAATTCACTTAAATAACCAAATAAATAAATCAACAAATTTGGGGGGTTAATAGTCCTTCCAAGCAGCAGAAGCTGAATTGCGGAGGAGGAAGCTACAACGTGGTCGAGCCGCAGGCATTAAGGTGCCTTAGGTAGCACCATACGACCCTGGTCTCACCATGGAGCACAGCCAGATGAAAATTGTTGATTTTTGCTGAAGGAGGAAAACCAGAGAACCTGGAGAAAAAAACCCTTGTGGCACAGGAGAGAACCATCGAACAACTTTACTTACATACGACCGAACCGGGAATCGAACCCGGGCCACAGCAGTGAGAGGCAAGCGCTTTACGCACCGTGCCATCCAAGCTACCCTGATACCCTCTCACGTTTGGGGAAAAAAGATTTTGGAACAAATGGTGATATTATACATTTGAATCAACAAATTAATCAACAGGTATTTTGTAGAATTTGGGAAAGAAATGATTATTTAAGAAAAACAGTAGACACCTACGAAAAACGATAAGAGTTGAAATCAACGCTGCTGAGAGCTTGTGTAGACATTAGCGCATTTCTGCGTGTTTTGTCTAAAATGAGGCCAGGTCACAGGATCCATTACATAGTAAATAAGTCATTAGTGCCACAAACTGCCAACCTAGGAATTTTAAATGACTGACGGAGTTCAGTAACAGGCAATAAAATGACCATTAAGCAAGAGCCGGCTGGGACCAGTTTTTAACTGGTAATCGGTGCAATATCTATGGCATAAAGGCAGTCAAGTGGTTGTTAGCTATCAATATTTTATAGAGGCTCACTACAATGGCCTCGGTCCGTGGCCATTTCTGGTTGAAGTTTACTGAGATATGAAACCGAACGGCAAAAGGATTTCGTAATTTATCATTTGATAAAGGAAAAAAGCGTACTAACAAATTGGATACATTTTCTTGTGGAATTACATGTACATGGGTACTTACTGTTAAGTAGGTGATCAAAAAATGTGAATCAACAGTATAATTGACAAATTTATATTCAACAAATGGCCGTCCAAAAAAGGTCATCACCCACCCAAACCGCACATTACTGTGAATATTCTTTTGACTTCTACACGTTTATTAATCTGCTATTGATTGCATATGTAAACTTTCAATTACAAAATTAAATTAGCACTGTTCTTTTTATAGAAAGTTCATCAAGTTGAACACTGCCAGTGTAACAAATAGCTCAAAGGGAACAGGATGCAATTAAGCCTGCTATTTTGAGTTGGACAGGTGTTTTGAGCAAAACATAAATACCGCCCACTTGGAATTGGTTACAACCGGTAGGTTTTCTGTTATAAAAACAAAGTTAGCACATGTATGTTCATGTTGAGGTTCAATGTAGGCCTATGTAAAAGCAATATTACAAGACATGACAGCCTAAGAAGACATCACAGCACTGACATTTAGTCTTCGACAATTTTGCACGTTCCACTGCGCTCAATTTAGCTTTTTGTCCTGCGCCTTGTCTACGCCCACAGCCAATACAATTTCATCAGAAGCCTTATAAAGACTCGACTGGTAAAAATACATGATTTCCATGGCAACAGTCTCCCTTGGAATATCTCCAGGTACTATAGGTTTTGAAGAAGGCCTGGTCTTAATCAATATTGAAGTCATTTGTAACTTAAAACTGGCCACAATTCCACACTGACATTTGGGACTAAAATTATGGTGGCATAAATACAAATAAATGGCATTTTACTCAAAAATCAATATTATGTGCTTGATTTGTATATTGAACTCTAGTTTTGAATGTGTCTTCAGTACAACTCAAAACACAACATTCATAATTCACATCTCAGGATGGGAACTAGTTTGCTTCCATATGTGCACATGCCAAACATACATTTACAAGACGTACCCTGAATTTTTACATTAAACAGACATTAAACTTTGGGATACATTACATGTGATACATTATGTCAATATTGAGTTTGTGCATAATTGCAACAGGTGTATTCAACCGCGACTAAACATGGCTGATGATGGATGAGTTGCCCCCAATCATGATGACATCAGCAAACTATAGTATGAGATACCATGGAGATACCAAGGAAGGATCCAAGGAGGTTACTGCTGGGGGTGGGGATGGGGGTGCTGGTGGGTGCCGGTGCTGGTGGGTGTCGGGGGAAGGGGGGAGAGAGAGGAGGGGGGGGGGGGGACTGACCCACCTAAACCAACTATCAAACATGATCCATCAAAAAAGCCAGACGGGTAAATGCCATACTGAAAACCAAACTACACATATGTTTCGGCCTGCACATCAACAGATTGCAAATGTTCCACGTACATTTATTCCACAGATTACAAGGAGACAGACCGTCGGGTGCCCGGCAGAAGGGCATATGAGCGTTCTGACGCAAAAATCACTTTCAAGAAAATTGCATTGAAAGGTTCCATTGTTCCCTCGCGCGCATTTTGTATCCAATGCTCTCCCCCATGTAATATAAATCGTACGAATTTGAAATTTGTCACACGTATGTATCATAAGTTTCAGAACAACACTTGTATTAATTTCTGATAAAAATGTTTAAATTTCATTGAAATAGAGACAGTTTTCTGCATATGTGCCCTTTTGCTGGGAACATTTTGGTGATTATGCGTTCGCGCATACGGGCATACGCGCATTTGACCTTCTGCTGGGCACACGACGAGACACTATAGTACAGAATTACTCATACTAGACTCTATAGTACACGGTACTAACTTGTGTTTTTAGACAAGTCTCATTAGGCTAATTGCAGATTGGTATTTGGCAAAGCGATTACTGCTTAGCTGTAATCAGCTGCAAATGGATGATGCACTCCCAAGGACAAACCAGCTTAGCTTAATTAACCAGACAGAAATTACGCTATTCTAACAGAGACTGTCCAGCGATATGCTTCTTGATAATTCATAAAAAGCTAAGACAGTTTACCCATTCCTATTTGTCGAGAGCTCGTTAGGTGGGTGATTTTATACGATTGATAAAAACCCAAACTGGTTTTAAACACTATTTTCTGGCACTGCTGCGTTCTGCGCCACATCCCACAAGACATGCCACATGCGCCCCAATGTCCATGTAAGGAGATTCTTAGTACTACTCCCGCGAGGCACATACCATAAACATAGCTAGAGGTGTGTTTCACAAAACATGAAGTAAAATTGTTTAATAAAGTTTTTGACTGAAAAGTATTTATGAATGGGATGTGCTTGGCCAGTTTTAAAAAAAGGATTTATTGAAAAGCCGGTTTTAAATGTAATGGTTCTTGTTTAAACCAGCCAAGCACATATTTATTCCCTCTAACAATGTTCACTAGGCCAATAAGCGTGACAAGAAGAGAGGTTTACTGAAATGGTGAGCCTTTTTGAAGGACATGCACGCGCAGTTGCTATTATTAGTGAAAATGTTGAGGGAAAAAAGGCACCAATGACAGTACAGAAAGTACCAAACTGAAAAAATTACCATTCATCGTAGGAATGCAATATCATCAACCTCTATCAATGCAGAATCAATCAGGCATTACACCTCACGGGCCTGCGCTATAACTTCACTCTCTGTACTTACCCCTCACCCGACTCCCCGCTCCCTGGGGAAACCAAAGATACACCCTCAAATGGCAAATATGGACGGCACGACTCACCATTTTTCTGCATAATCGTATCGCTCAGGGAAAAACTCTCAATCAAGAAAGACTCAACTCCAACGTAGTCCGTGTGAACTTTGCGTCAGACAGCCAACGTGCGAGTCAACTCTTCAAGTATGTGCTCACGAGAATTAACTCCTCAAGTATCGTTGCGATGGATCCAAACACAACCGAACCACAAGCACAGAAGTTTGTCCAGTAACCAATTCTCACACTAGCCACAGAGTTTGAAGGCCCTTCTCACTACCACCGATGCTTTTCAAAAGTTTGAGAATGAATATCTTTAGAATCCATACAAAAAAATATAGAATTGTATTAAGAGTAGAATCCAATTATGACTCGCCGCTCCAGGGTTGAAATCTACCTTTTACTATTACCGACAAAACACACTTTCACAATACGCTGTGCGTCGATGTGTACATGTGCGTCAAGTGTCCATTCAGGGATTTTACTCGGGCATCTGATAATTTATTGCTACCAATAACGATGAAAAGAGAAGCTACGCCTGAGTGGTTCTGCTCGCCCCTCTGCTGCAGTCTGTGTGTGTGGCACCAGCCGAGCTCTAAAGAGTCGAGTCTAGCTATTTCATCACTTGATCTTGACATGTCATGGACGTACATTGTGAACTACAGGGATCTGCTAGATATTGTCTATGTGTATCTATGTAGGGTATTAAGGTTTATAAGAGGATCCATCATCGCCAATCCCCCCCCCCCCCCCCCCAAAGCCCACACAGGCATAAGCTGGTGCCGAATTGAAATATAAAATGCACTTACCCTGGGTAAGCAAGTTACTGTTTAAAAATGTTTCTATACTTTCAGATGATCATGCATGTATGGTGCCTGAACAACCCCCCCCCCCCCACCCCTACAGATACATTCAGTACCCCTTATTTGCACCCCACCTCATCTCAACCCCCCCCCCCCCCATCCCTGCACAAGTTCTCTCTGTTCCCTTCAGATAGTTTCCAAACAAATTGACACCAAACATTTTTTGTAAAAAAAGTCCTTTTCAATGACATCCCACACGAGTTTAAAAAATGTATGACATATTCTGCCATTCCACACAGGAATGGCAAATGTATGCATATTTCATTGACTAGAACACTCAGTATCATGTACTTCAGTAAAAACATATTTTATTTTTTTTTTTGGAGGGGGGGGGGGGGGGGGGAGGTGGGTCAGTTTTCACACACGCACTTGTTTTCCCATAATAAACAAAGTCAAGAAGGATTACAGTC